GACAGCCATAAAGGAGGACGGAGCGGACTGATGAGCAGTACACCTGCCCTTTGGTCGATAGTCAAACATCTCGTCTACGCCAGAGTCGGCGTAAACTGGCAAATGCGAAAACAGCCCCCTGTATTCGTGCTGAGATTTCTTCAGAGATCAACCCCTTGGCACTGGCTGATGGTACTTCCCAAATAAGTGAAGCGGTCAACGTGCTCTACCACTTCACTTCCTATTTTTAAACTAGGCGTCGATGTAGTCCAGTCCTGTAACATCATCTTGCATTTGGCGGGAGCGAATCGCATGCCAAACATTCGTAGATTGCGGCTCAAGGTGTTTAGAAGACTCTGCATTTGGTCAGCGTCTTCGCCTAGAAGGACTATATCGTCTGCATATTCCAAGTCAACGAGATTATTCCCCGGTAGCAAGTCAATCCCTGAGTCGCTGAAGTCACCTAGGGTTAAGTCCATTAACACATCTATGATGAAGTTGAATAGGAGTGGGGATAATGGGCATCCCTGACGGACACCACTGGTCGTCATCAGTTCAGATGAAAGCTCGCCGTAAGCCTTCACCTGGCTGTATGAGTACGAGTAGAGTGCCTTAATCAGTGCAATATATTTTCTTGGAATTCCCTTTACAGCCAAGCATCTCCAGAGAACTTCTCGATCGACAGAGTCGAATGCTGCCTTTAGGTCAAGAAATATAATGACTGTTGGACGCCGGTAGGAATGCCTATGTTCTAGAATCTGTCGGAGGGTGAAGATATGATCAATACACCCTCTTCCTGGTCTAAAGCCTGCCTGGCTCTCTCGTGTTTGTGTCTCCCGAGCACCACTTAGTCTACGCATGATTATTGAGCCTAAGACTTTAGATACTATATTAGTCAAGCTAATCCCTCTGTGATTATTACAGGAAGACTTGTCTCCCTTCTTGTATATCGGGATAATCAGTGAATTACACCAACCATAGATTTGTCAAGATCATACTGGAATTACCACAGTTGAAGAAAGATGTTTAAGTTATAATACGCATAAAAATTTATTAATTATATAGAATATCAAATAAAATTAAGGAAGCCTTTACAACAAATTCTTGGTATTGACATTACTAAGACCAATTTCAGCCGGCATTTTCCTTGCAAAACTAGAAGATCAGCCTTTCAAAGCAGTAAACGATCAACTAGAATTCTACTATCGTTACATGGATAATACATATGAACTGTGATCAAGATTTGACCGGATAGTTGTAAAATAATTGAGCGCTTAGTGAGAAGTAGACATTTGTAAAGAAACTATATTTGTAAAATCTCAGAGAAATTGAAATGAGCAATTCCAACGTTTCCTGAGTTCGGGAATCTCATCCGAACTTCTTCTCGTCCGAAATTAATCGAAATTAACATAACAAAGGTTTAAATATAAAAGAGACATCTCCTGTTTTTGAAACTTTGTCCAATCATGAGTCATGCAACAGGTATCAACATGTATAATAAATAAATAAATAAAACTGTATGTTTATATATAAAAGTACATCTCTCGTTTTAAATTGTTTGTCCTGCCATATGAATCAAGAAACAGCTATCAATAGGTATACTAAACAAAACAAAACAAAAATTGAATGAACTGTCATTAAAATTTGACCTCAGACATTCAAAATTTGTCTACTTTTGTTAAAATATATGTGTATATACAGCATACAATGGTGTGGGTATGTGTGTGTGGGTGGAACAGTCATAAAACATTTGTTATTTTCATATGAGCTGTGATCAAGATTTGACCGGATAGTTGCAAAATAATTGAGAATTTTATAAATATAATATTTTTTTTGTAAACTTGTTATTCTCTCCGTAAGAAGACGTAGACAATCGGGAATTTAACCAAGTGTGACCAGTTGTTGATACATATCCACTTTTATTTATTAGTCAGGATTTGCCATGCATCGGCTAACATCACACCTTCACGTCTGTTTAAATTGTTGGGATTCACCCATATATGTAGGGCTTCTGCAATCAGTCTTTATATGAACCGAAACCTTCCTGTAAAACCTTAGTCTTATCAAAGTCGATTTTGTAACCCGTTTCTATCGAATGCAGTGCAATCGCTGAGTTGTTTTCTAGCTTCTTCAAGTCTGCAAAGGTCCTCGAAGGAACCACCTTTAGACATTATTTATGCTTTTTCACTCTTATATTTACCTGTCTGGAAGTTTCTCCTACATATACTGCGTTACAATCCCCACAATTGATCTGGTATTCGTAATTCTGCTGGTTTTCTTGTTCTATTTTATCCTTACCCTTCACCAGTAATGAGCGTAAGGTGTTAGATGCACGAAAGTACACTCTTATGTTATGTTCGTTAAGGATTCGCTTTATTTCATCGAATGTTTCTTTGCCGTAAGGAATCACCGCTGTACTAACCCGATTCTTAGCAGCAGGTTTTGATTCATCTTTATCTTCACACTTTAAATATCTTTTTATGAAGGCTTTAGGATAATTTTTTGATTCAAGAGTTCATTGAACCAATTTTAGTTCCTTGCTAATATCTTCCTCCTCAGTAACTAGACGTTTGGCTCTGTTGATCAAATTCTTGGCCACAGTTACTTTGGTGGTAAATGGGTGTGCTGAATTGTAGCCTTGGTATCTATCCGAATTTGTAGGCTTTCTAAAAATATTTATATTAAATTTACCATCTAATTTTCTTTTCCTAAACAGTCCAGGAACGCTAACTCATTTTCATTGGATTCAACCTCTTTGGAAAACCTGATGGTTCCTGACATATTGTTTATTAAGTGAAAAAGTTCATTTAACAAACTACGTTTGACTATGATGAAGGCATCATCTACGTATCTTAACCACATCTTTGGGGGAATAGGGCATCTCATAATTGCATTTGTTTCTAATGTGTGCATAAACAGATTGGCGACTAGTGGAGATACTGGTGATCCCATAGCATATATATATATATAAACATACAATTTTATTTATTTATTATACATGTTGATACCTGTTGCATGACTCATAATTGGACAAAGTTTCAAAAACAAGAGATGTCTCTTTTATATATACACCTTTGTTGTGTTAATTTCGATTAATTTCGGACGAGATTCCCGAACTCAGGAAACGTTGGAATTGCTCATTTCAATTTCTCTGAGATTTTACAAACATAATTTCATAAACATGGATAATACATTTTCGATTATGCGAAATGAAGATGAAGCGAAGACGACCTTTGACAAATTCAAATAGAATCATCTTGCAGTAAATTTTACCATCGACGAAGAAAGATACTTTAGTATTTCATTCACGGGCATCCTTATGATTAGAAAAGAGGAGAGTAAAAATTAAGGGGAACTGTATGATGTTTGCATCAACTAGTCAGTATTCTCATGTTTTTAGATTTGCGCCTTTGAAATAAAGTAAGGAGTTTAATCAAATGTTTGATCCACAGAGTGTGAGCGATCTGCTCTAATCAATGTCTTGACGAAGAACTCAATTTTTGCTAAATGATTACTGAGTGAGGGCGGTTATCCACAGAGTATTATCGACAATAGTGTGAATTTGAAGTTAAGGAAAGAAAATATACTTAAAGTTTCGCAAAAGACCCCTTATTTCCTACAAATTGAGTTACTTGGAGATAACACCAGTGAGATTTTAACACAGCGTCTAAAGAATATAATGCGAGGATCATTCAGTGCAGCTAAAGTTTGGTGTGTCTTGAAAACCACCCCTATTTTACATCAGAGAGTTAAATATAAACTGCCTATCTTCACCACTTCTATGTGTATCTATGAATTTAAATACTGAAGTATTAGTTTTTGTATGGATTTCATTCGATTCGTTAAAGGATTTCATCATGAGCTGATATCAGTTAGAGAACCATTGGAAAGCCTGGAAGTACTGCCAGGCAGCTGTTTCGTCCAAGTATTGAACTCTTCTCAATACTCACTTATCCTCCTATGGAGCTGGTTATTTACATCATAGGATTTCCGAATATCATTATATTATTATATTATTGTATCCTTTAGTTCCTAGAGGAACATAGGGCTTCAGCTGAGCACCTCCATTGCCTTCGGTTTTCTGACAACTTTTTCACTCTGCTCCAGGTCTGTCCACATGCTTTCATCTCTTCCTCGCATGACCTCCTCCAAGTCACCCTTGGACGACCAACTCGCCGCCTCCCTTTCGGGTTCCACTCGAGCAATGGCTTGTCTAGTGATGTCACTTGATGGTTTGTTTCCTCAGTGTATGGCCAATCCATCTCCATTTCTTTCTGCCTATTTGTTTCACAATCGGTTCCTGATTGGTTCGCTGCCAGAGATCCCTGTTGCTGATATTTTCTGGCCATCTGATCTTGAGTATTGAGCGGAGACAGCTGTTAATGAAGGTCTGAAGTTTGTTTGAGATGCTCTTCATGACTCGCCGAATATCATACTGCGTGATTAAGTAAAGGACAAACAATAACCATTCATAGCTCTATTCTATCTCATCTTGTGGATAAAGTGAACATAAGAGTGATGATAACGAGGCTTTCAAAGTCATTTAATGCATACCGAAAAATCTTAACTTTGCTGTAAGAGTTGGTCTACTATATATTGCTGAGGCCGTGTGACGGGATTCACGGATAGATGCCTTACTAATTTATCCAAAAGAAACTGTTGATCCTTACCGTGGCCGTCAATTTTCCAATGGTCCTCAATTTTTTATGGAAATTTCCCTAATTTTATTTAATATTCTATTTCCTATTACAATCGTATGCCTGTTATAACTTAAACGTCGTTCATGAACTTTGCTGGTTCAATTGTGATCTCAGCTAACAAATCGATAGTTTTTATAAAAAAAAACACCAATATTTTATTAATGCCGATTATTCTAGAATATTCTACGTATACAAAAACAAACATGCATATAACTGTAGAGCCAGCAGAAGATGAAATTCCTGGAAAAGATTATCTCTGCTCAACACCAACTGGAATACAAAAAACATGTGCATTTAAATAAAACTCATTGTATCACTTACAGACATATGATTGAAACCGACCACCAGTGTTGATGATATCGGCTGTGTCGTTCCAGCAGCTTCCCGAGCATTGACAACTCCCCATTTCAAAGAATAAAATATATAAGCTAACCAATAGATTGCAAAGACTGCCTTGTTTTGTCAAATAAAATGAAGAATGAAAAATACAAGTGTAAAATTTGAACAAAGCAAGTACTACAGTTTTAGGAGAATAAAATAGTACCATCTTTTATTTCGTTGCCTTCTCGTCAGCTGCTTACATGGCAAAGACAAGTATAAAACTTGGGCACTGTAGTGGTTGAGGATAACTCCATGATGGACTGACTGGTGGTAATAATATCTTCCATACACATCTCTGGTATTTTGTATTGAGTCATTTCTGTTGAATGTGTTCGGTGTTGACTCGATGAACCAGGAATGATTCAGTAATCAACTTCTCTCTCCACCTACCTAGATTGCGTTCTAAAATTTTAACCCTCTCCAACCCGTCCTATTTTGTGGTTCTGAGTTAATGCGTGAAGTGCAATATAGTGGTGAGCTTTTTTCTAAATTACTTATCTTCTAGGGGTCAACCATTCTTACCTTAGCTAAATTCTTATGCTCGGACAATCTGACTACCCATGACCTACTAGTCTGACCCAATGTAGTTGACCCATCTCACAGTCATTACAGGGTATTTTGTAAATTATATTATTTTGTCTAATTGGCTCCACCGGGTCTTTTAGCCTATAGAGCTTGTCCTTGCTGAATGAGTTTGTAGGTTTGAATGCCACTCTAATTCCGGCTTTATTAAAAATCCTTCGTAGGGCATCAGATGTCCCCTCCTTATATGGTGTAACAGTAGATGACTTATATTCTCTTTTATTTATGTTATTATTACTAGTTTCATAATTATTTTTACTTTGTTTTTGGCCTTTATTGATCTTCCTAATGAATTTTATAGGATAGTCAGTTATTCAACACCAATGCTTCTTCTATCTGTTTTAATTCATCATTTAGATATTTTTTGTGCTACTTAGTACCACTGCTCGATTTGTTAAACACTTAACTTAGCCTGCCTTAACAGTTAAAGGATGAGACGAATTAAAGTCTAAATATCTATTAGAATGCGTTGGTTTTCTATAAACACCAGTGTGTAGTTTGCCTTCTTCTATTCTTTTTATCTTACAATCTAACATAGCTAATTCTTCTTGTTCGTTTGCTAATTCAAATCTGAATTTTATTCCCTCAACTTGTGAGTTTATATGTGTCAAGAAGCTAGAGATGTGTTCTGTTTTTAACACTCTGAGTGAAAGTGTCATCTCCATATCTCCATCATGTTTTTGGCAGTAGGATTAAATGTATATATATAAAAATATATGAATATGTTTAAGGAAAATTGGCAAATTTTATAATTACATAATTGCTTGTAAACATGGCTATAAAGTAGAAAGTATGCGTCTTATTATATCCTCCCAATTGTATCAGCGTTGCCAGCATATAATAGATTATATTCACCACCTATATAGACGCACATATTTAGACAACATAAAAGATTTCAGCTTACCAATAGCATAAAAATAACATACTTCATTTGATGTACTAGATTTTTAATAAAATGATCCTCATTATTCCCCTTTTCCTCATGACGATAACATTCATATCCCAGATAGATGAAACAGGCGAACACTGTGATGATGATACAACGAACTAAGAAAGTGAAGGCATAATTAAGTCTATCTTTTGTGGTCGTTTGGTGGAGCATTGCTCAATTGTGGTATACTGTCCGGCCTAGAGCGTATATATATGTATATATACTTGCATAATTAGATAAAGCCAATATAGAACTAAATCTGACCATACTAGCAATATTTAACGGATGATATTTTTTCATCACAGGGTAAAATTATGTTCTGATAAAATCAATTTCTTTTAGGTATGTTCAGTGTAATTTGTCTTATTTCTTTCTACAAGTGCTACGTAAAACTTGAGATTCACTAATAAGAAGTCAAGATAAGTAGGTATGTCATTGATGGCAGAGAAGTAACTCAAAGGCCCTAATAATCACTTTTGTTTTCAATCTTTGAAAATTTTGTCTTGTCTAAAACAAAAGAAAAGAAAACAAAAATTTAAATATTTAACCTCTATGACAGACAAGAGATGTAAAGAAGATGTGGCGATGATTACAGTGGAATGTATTGATTTCATTGATTTTGAATGGGGATTTCAACAGACTAAATCTTTACCAAGCTCATTCAATCAATAGCTAAATGACTATGCTACATATCAAGTAATCGACAATGGGAATGGAGGACTGTGTGTGTGTGGAGTAAGGAGCCAGCGGCCAAGTTAAACTTCAAGCACCACTAAGCAGCAGCAGTGGAGTGCTGCCGCACCGATGACCTTCAAAGACGCTCCCTGAGCGAGTTAGTGAAATCTGACAAATAATGTTGACTACATCAATACAGTATGCTTATCATAGTGTTATGGTATTAAATGGAGTATGCAGCAAGTTCCAGCTTGGGTTTGGGAAAGATTAGGTTGCACTATTAGCCAACGACAAGTTGGAGTTAGGTTAATCTAATAAAGGCGACATTCGGGTTGGTTCGAGTTAGGTGACAGTTAGTTTAGGGATATTTTCGCGTTGAGGTTAGATTCAGGAACGATTAGGGTTATTGTTAGGATTAGAAGACCTAAATGATTACATGCATAGAATCTGGTTGAATTACTCTGTTGATATAAGAATAGAACTTGTGCACTATGGCAGTGGAGTATAATTCCACTGTGAGTAAAATTTATTCCGATAAAATCTCACACGGTGTTATACAATAATATTTACTGATGACCATGTTTCGACCACAATTTATAGCTCAGTAAATGTTACTGCATAACACTGTGATACTTTATCAAAATACATTTTGCCTATAATGGAATTATACTCTGTTGATACTCCAACCTAAAACTGAGAGCTATTTTTATCACATGTGAGGGAAAAGTACCCTCTGTAACACTTTTATGCATTTTTTATGCTTTTTTTTCACAAATATATGTATTCCATGCACAAAAATGCCTCCTTCATGTGTTTGGTGAGTTCGAGGACATTCGCCGATTGGTGGTTGTTGGTGGTTAAAGTTCACCTTTACCGCCTCCGTATACTTTACACTGCCGAGGCCTAAGGCATCAGGATAGAAAACCCTGATTTATCCACACAGAAGAAACTGCTTCATCGCCTCTTTTTACCTTGGTTATAATTCCAACTTCTACTCCTTTTTTAACTAATACTATTTTTGAATTTTTAGGTGACATTTTAGTAACATCTTTTTCTTAACCAAGCCTTTATTTACTTTTTCTACCTAGAGTATATTTTATTTTGGACACTTTTCTCCGTGCGCTTTCATTAAAGTCCTATTTTTCTGGGTGTCTTTTGTATTGCATAACCCTAGTCAAGATTTACTAATCTTCAACCATCCTAGTTACGGTTTGATTCTTCATCATATTTTTACAGTCAATCAAATTGAATGAGGTAGACAGCTTAGTGCCATTCAAAGCTTTGTTTAATGATGATCCGTAGTGTGGTGATTCGATCAATACATGACTTGTTTCTCCTGAATCCCATGGGAGTTTTTCATCCAGGGCTTGTTTGATTCTCTCCAGGATGATGCGGCTTATTATTTTGTTTGGGATGGACAGGAGCATAATGCCTCGTCAGTTCTTGTATTGACTGAGGTCTTCTTTCTTTGGTAGTTTGAATAAGTATCCTTTCTTCCAATCCTCGGGTACTTTGCCCTCTTTCCACACCTTCTCCAGTAATGGCGTCATCAAGTCCGCTGTTGTCTTTGGGTCCGTTTTCACTGCTTCTGCTGGGATTCCATCTGGTCCTGGTGCTTTCCAAGATTTAAGCATCTTGATTTCATTCAGGAATTCTGACTTCGTCGGGGGGTCAATGTTCACTGGTAGTTCTGCTTCCGTCGTTGGTATTGTTGAGCGCGTTGCACGTGGCGGTCGATTTAGAAGTCTTTTGAAGTGTTCAGCCCAGTGTTTTCTTTGCTCCACTTCTTTGGTGATTGACTTTCCATTGTCATCCTTCACTGGCCTAATCTGTGTCGAACTTTTGCACGATAGGAGCCTTGTTGTTTGGTAGAGTGTGGCGAGGTCTCCTTCGCCTGCAGCTTGTTCTGCTTCGTTTGCCATGGTTTCATAATATTTTCTTTTGTCTTCCCTGGCACTCTTCTTCACTCTTTTGTTCAGTGTATTTTAGCTTGCATTCAACTCTTGTTTTTGCTGCTCGTCGAAGCACTGGATAATCTTTTGTTTCACCATCCTTCTTTCTTCTATTAGTCTCCAAGTGTCCATAGTCAGCTACTGTTTGTTCTGTCTCTTCTTTCTGCAGGTTTGACTCCATACCGTTTTCAAGTTATTCTAGTGCTTTTCGACGCGGACCTCTTCGCTAGTGTTGATTTATGTCTCGGCTTTGTCCCTTATGCTTGCAGTGAAGATATCCCTTGTATCCTGGTACTTCAGTTTTTTTAATTTTTAACTCGGCTTGTGGTCTATCTGCAGCTACCGTTTTCCTGAAAGCTTTTAATTTGATTTGGATTGTCCCTTGTACGAGATAGTGGTTTGAGCCAACGTCTGCTCCTTTTCTTACTTTTGTGTCCAGTAGGCTGCGCCTCCACTTCCTTGAGATTGAGATGAAGTCAATTTGGTTTTTGGTTTCCCCGTCTGGTGACACCCATGTAGCCCTGTGGATATCTTTGTGTTTGTATACGCAGCCACCAATCACTGGTTCGTTGAAGGCGCAGAAGTTGGCGAAGAGTTCTCCGCTTTCATTCATTTCTCCGAGAGCTTCTCTACCCATGATGAGTTCCCTTCCTGTGTTGTCTGGTCCCAGTTTGGGGTTCATGTCTCCCATTAGTATTTTAATGTCACAAGCTGGAGTACTGTCCATTGCTACCTGTAGTTGTTTGTAGAATTCTTCTTTCTTTTCGAGGTCTGCGTTCTTTGTGGGTGCATAACATAGTATAATTGACACTTTC